GATGGGCTCATGATTTACTTCCCAGAGAAGAAAAATAAAAAGTAATTTCTCATTAATTGAATCAAATATATTTTCTTATATTCAGGATTAAAAAGTTTCCATTTTATGTCAATAAAGACACCCAATCCATATAGTGTCCAAAAGGGAAAATGGGAATAGAGTAGAAAATAAACAGGAATAGATGAAGGAGGGCAGTGCAGAATAGCATTGAGCATTTATGTACTCTTGATGACCCAAAAGGGGCTCCCATTGAAGCCCATATTTCTGGACGTCCTCTTTAACTTTTCTGATTTCTCATGAGAGAATTCAATCTTCCTTCCTTTTATAAGAAGGGAATCATTCAACACACTTCATCTGGTTTTCTACCTGAACCCACATCTCTTAAAGTGTGAAAACTATAAGATAGAAGTCCCATGCTGAGATTGTTTAAGTCCATGAGAGTACAGTCTTTCCAAAAGGCTTCACTGTATCCTAGGGGTTCATCTCTTTTCAAGTTTTATAAGGAATAAAGAACACAGCATGATTATAGTTTCCTTGTTACTTTGTTAACTGGTTCAGAATTCAGAGAGGAATAATAAACTAGATTCAGAGAACCCCTGAAAGCATGTGACTTCTACAAGACTCTTCAAATCTTGCCACTTAATCTACTGATTAAAGATTTTTATGATATAGGAATAAGAAATTAGACAAGATTTGCTTTTGGTGTAAAGCTATCATAAATTGTGACATCAAGTGGAATCTTTTATTACTAGCTTGAAATGACTACCACATAAAAAAGGAAAATGATGCAAAAAGGGTTTACAAAAAGTCTCAGCCTTTGAGAGAGAACTCTAATTTCATCTTATTTTACACATGTCAGGAAAAAGAAGAGAAATGGGGATTAATCAGAATTATACTACAGTCTAATAGTTACTTAGTTGCCACCCAGATTGTTGTTTGGGTGATGAGTGCACCTTTGCCCTTCACAAATTACAGCTCTTTGAACAAAATCCTTTAAATGAGCTTTCTTCAAAGAAACAATATTTAAATAGTCAAGACTTTATTTTTTAAAACTGCATTCATTACAAATTTTAAAGCATGGGGAAGTTCCTTTTTCCCCTACTCATAGAGTTCAGAAAAAAGTACAGCAGAGCAAACTCATTTTTAAAAGAGCATTAAAAAGGTAAAAGAAAATATCCGTAAGTATTAGTTCAACTTCTAAGAGGCAGTGTAATCCTCAGGCAGGCAGTGTCAAGGTTATGGACCTTTACCATTCAAGTTTATATCTTAATTCCTCCACTAAAGACCAAGGAAGAAACATTAGATACTCCAAAGGGAAAACTGCTCCTGTATTGAAGGAAAAGAAAAAGGCAGTAATATCGATTTTTTATTACCTAAAAATCCCTCATATATTTCACTAGAGCTCAAGTAGGAAGGAATAAAGGGATTGGGAAAAAGGCATCGGTTCTAAACCATACAACTCACCATAATGTAATAACTTAAGTTTAGTCAATGTTTAATAATATAGTTATTATTGGTTGATGAATATTTGTAAATTTTATAAAATAATAGAATCTCAAATTTTGATTTAAGGTGGCTAACAAATTCTATCCCTTTGAGTATGCTGAGCCATAAAGATTATAAGCCACTTGAGTAATTCTTAGGGATCTCCCTCATATTCAAGAAAGGTTTGGAGAGTGGGTATGGTGATGCACATCTGTAATCCCAGCTACTTAGGAAACTGAGGCAGGAGATTTGTGTTTGAGGCCAGCCTGGACTACACATAAGAAGACCCTGTTTTAAATATATATATAAAATTGTACTAAGAAGGGTTTTCTCTTGCAGATTAGTCCTTACACAACAAAACTTTAGAATTAGCACACTCAATTACTACTTTTCATAGAATTTGTTGGTGATTTCTGGTCCCATCCCATATTTATGTTATAGTCATCAAGGTTGTATTCTGTGGTTGGGCTGGGATGGATAACATGAATAACTATTGAGGTTTCCTTGAAAATTTGTATTTTACTTGAAAGAATAATGAGATACCCTATGACAAATATAGCTCTAATCCTCATAAACTCATGGTCATGACACTCCTAAATTGAAATCATATGAACATATGGTACACAATGTGTGGTGTATATTGCCTTGAACCTTTGCCCTTTTCATAAATATACCAGAAAACATTTACATACCAAGTCAAAATACTCACCCAACTGACACTTCTGGAAGGGTCCCCAAATTTTCCACTTGACATGGTGAGGTTTTTTCCAATGGTTCATGTGCCTTTTCCCCACATTGCCTACTATTACTTTGTATCTCTCTGTGTACAAGGGTGAGTTTAAAGCTTCTGAAAAGGAGTGGGGAAAATATATACATGGATTTGAAGCTAATAATATTTACATTACTACTTTAATCATGGCTGCAAATGTGAGGATAGAAACTAAACTAGATAATCCTCTTTGAATTATAAGGGGCAGAACATAAAATCAAGTAACTTAATATAAAAATAGAAATTTCTACACCATACCTGGGCATAAACCCAAAGGAATCAAAGTCTACAGAACTGTTCATAATAGCCAAGTTATGGGATCAGCCCAGGTGCCCATCAACAGATGAATGGATAAAGAAATCATCACACACACATACATACACATACACACCCACACACACACACACACACACACAATTGAGTATTATTCAGCCATAAAGAAGAATGAAACTATGTCATTTGTAGGAAAATGGATGGAACCAAAGATCAAGCAAAATAAGCCAAACTCAGAAATACAAATGTTTTCTCTCATATGCTGATCCAGATCTAAAAATTACAAACAAAGAAAAAGACATGAATATTAAAGGTGCCTATTTGAAGGGGATCAATTGGAGGAGGAAGGGAACAAGGGGGTAAATAAAATTGAAGTACATTGTATACATATATGAAAATGTCAGAATGAAACCCATTATTTTCATTTAATAAAATGAAAAGAACCATAATAAAGATCTCTCAAAGGATGCCTACCTTGGGGTCATAAAGTTATACCTTAGAAAAATCTCTCTACTTTGTATTCTTTTATTTAACATGGACAAAGCCTATTTCATAGTAGAGACTATTAACATATAATTTTTGAAGCAGTTTTTAATGTATTTCAATAAGAAAAAAATAGAGATTTGTTATTTTGCAGATGTAAAAGAGTTTCTAAAATAATATTGGTTAAGAATTCCCATCACTCCAGAATTACTTATTATTACACAGAGCTAAAACCAAGGCAGTATCAAATGCAGAAACTCTTTAAAAGTTGCTGAAATCATCTGTAACCTACAATCATCTCACCCCACAGTCTATTTTAAATGATTTAGATATAGTTTTGTGTCCTGGATTGGAGGGTAAGAAGGATACTGAGGTACTTCTTTTTTGATGAAGTTAAGTAAGTTTAGTAAGGATCCCTTTGGGTATATGCCTTAAACACTGAGGACACCTATAAAGGAAACTGAGATTCCACTTCCCAGTGACTGCCTCTGCAGTACACTAGTATATCTTGCATATATATAAAATGGAGAAAAGAACATTTGAGAGAAGAATAGCAAAAGGAATAGAAGATCATACTCACAAGATTTGGTTTGCTACTTATAAAATACCTAGGTTTGAGATTTCTCCAGTTTGCCAACCAACACTTATCATCTATATATTACTTAGCACCTGCATTGGGGTCCCAAAAGAATAAGAGGCTCCATGAACAATAACCAGGTTAGAGAACTGGGAGAGAGGGGATATCAAGAGGGATGTTTGGGGGGAACCAGTAAAGCCTTTTCTAGATTGCCCATCAAAACTTATCTAGTGACCATCTCTAAAATGTCCCAAAGACTCAAGTGTTCATCATTTGAGCGACATTTAGGGCTCATGGTACATACTTGACTGGGTGTTTCTAGAAATAGAAACATTTCTCAATTGTTTAGGAGACACTCATCCCTCTCCACTATTTCATCCTTTTCCTCTACTTTGACTTGCCAAATTGTGTAAGAAAAGCAGTAAGGAATGAGCTCATAGATTATGTTGAGCCTTCTCCCTCTCCAATCATGTGTACCAGAGATGGTAGTAATGAAAAGAACACCAAAGAACAGCAGACAGTATAGATTTAAAATTCTAGCCAATTGGTCCATGTGAACAACCCAACCAGCAACAAGCAGAACTGCCTGACTTTTACATCTAGAGTCATTCTGCTTCATTCTCTCATTGCACAGCTTTTTCAAACAAGGAGAGACTGTTGGTCTTTAGCAACTCTGGACTTCTATAACTCAAGGTAAATCAGAGATGTACTAGCTTCTAGTTTGAAATTTTTTAGAAGAGAAACTATAATTTTGGATCTCTTGAGCCTTCCTCCTCTCTGGGACGGTCAATTGCAGAGAGGTAATACGTTTACAAAATAATGTAATAATTCCTACAATAGCCTTGGGACTGGGAAGATTAGGGATGGTGGGTGCAAACAAAGAATGCCAATGACAAGGGAAGTTTACTAGTGAAATACTGCTGATATATTGTTGCTGACTCTAATCTTCAAATCTAATATTCCAATGAGGAGTTTACTAATAGACAGAATAAATTTTAGTAAGTATATTGTGGGGATAACTAAAACCCTGAACCACATTTTCAGATAAATATGACTTTTATTAGCTACCAATTATGGTACAATGAAATGTACAGTGTCAAACCTATGCATCTAAGGATTATCAGCATTTCCTGATTAAATATATGTATATACATATATATATAATTTTTTGCATATAATTTAAGGCAGTGTTGAAAACTTGGGTTCTAGAAACAAAAAGCTGGCTTCTAGATAAAAAAAAATAGTCAGCTACTAATGAAGCCTAAACTAGTAGGGTCATTTTAATTAATATATTTAAAGGATCAATTTTATATAAATATACACATACTTTATAGTATATATTAAATATACTCATATAACTGAACTTAACAATGTTAATCAGCATATTTTCTAGCACCTGAAAATTAGACTTACCTTGGAACAGAGCATGATACTGGGGAAAAACCTATGATATTTAACAACACTGGTTGATACGTGACTGAACTTTCAATGAGAATGCCCCATGGCCGATCCTGAAGGGGAAAAAGAAACAGTGGTTATTTTAGTTAAGTCAAACAATTCAAAAAGAATTTAAAAGTTAATTAGAAAATATTAGACATTGTCATTTCATATTAAGAAACAAAAGAACAAGAAAGTTGATAAAATGCCTACAATTGAAAAAGACCCAAGTAATAGCTCCTGATATAGTATTGGGGATATTGTATTTGTTTGGCAGCTGGATTTGTATAAGCAACTCATGAACACCACATTTCTTTAAGAGTAATGGTTTGCTTTGGGGAGACATGGATTACGGACTTGACGCTGTACCTCACTCTGGACATGAAATTAAATAAATATTTGATTTCAGCATAATTTCTAAAACCAGTCAGAAATTCTTTCAGTCTTTGCAGACTACATGATGTCTCTTTACAACAGCCAATTCTGCCATGGTACCATGAGACTCACTTCTAGCCAAAGCTTAAATGAATGTGTTTGTCTTCCAATAAAGCTTAATTTAATGGCATAGAGAGCTGACTGAATTTGGACCATAGACCATAATTTCCAACTCTAGATATGAGTTATTATTTTTAAGTGGGGGTATGGTACATTTAATACAAATACTAAGTAAATATTTCTAAAGCAAAACAATAAAAACATATATAGGCATACCTCCATAGTGATGGATTAGACAAAAAAGTGCAAGCCAATAAGTATGTGTCTCATTATAAATTTAAAATATTTATATTATAGAATTGGGAAAAAATAAGCCTGTCTAATGGAGGTCATGCAACTCTTCTTTGCAGTCAGCCACAGATATTTTTGGATATATTTCAACTTTAAGCATACGCACTGGACATATTGGAAGAATTGTATTCAAGAATCCTTGCTAGTACTTCAAATCGCCAAGTTCAAACACTACTTTTGATACTTACCATTCATGTGACAACAAGATATAACTTGGCTTAAATTTTTTAACTTATAAAATGACTATAGTATGGATTCATAGGGTGTGGTGTTATACTAATAATATTTATGACATATAGAAAATATTCAATTTAATCTTTTTTATATTGTCATTAAATCATGTAATTTCTTAAGGATCCCACTTTGTCAATTTAATCTTAATTTAACACAAATTAGTCTCTGTACCTGAGGAGTCTCAGAGTAATTTTGCCTTAGGAATAGCTAGAGAATAGAATTTTAAGCACACTATCAAACACCTATCTGTATTCCTCCCCAACAAATTTCCATCTTCTCTTTCTTCTGGGTTAGCCTCTTTTTCAGGCAAAGTCTCCTCTCAAGAGTGGCTAATAGAAATCTTAGCAAGATTTTCTCAAGATCACCTGTTTATAATCTCAGTAAAAATAAATAAATAAATAAAATAAACTGCATTCCTAGAAATCTCAGAAAAAAATCCAGTAGTTATACTTGGCCTGGCATGATTATCTAAAGTGAAATTTTATAAGGCCTTTTCATTTATTTCATAAATGTTTTTGTACCTACATTTTACTTAACTCGCATTTTAGTGCTTGACATATGTTGGGTATTGTTCTACATATTGGGGAGATGGCAGAAAATGAGGGGACAGATCACGTACTGAAGCCAGACGTAGAATCAGTTCATATAAGTCATATATACTGAAAGTGGGGCAGATGTGGATCCTAAAAGGAAAACCAAGCCTCCACAAACAAAGTCAGCAAGAATATAACATAAAGCAAGGCCAACACAAGAGAGACAACAGACTTTAATGGATTAATAGCTGTCGCATTCAAATTCCAGCTGCCCTACTCTGAATATGACACTGGGCAAATTACTTCTTCACTCTATTCCTCAATATCTCACATAACAAGAGGATAATACTATTTAGCCAAGAGTGCTATTGTGGGGGGTTAGGTAAATAAGCTACCTGGCACATGACAAGCACTATTTATTAAATAATTAAAATGAGGGCTGGAGGCATGTCTCAAGAGGTAGAACAACTGTCCAAACAACAACTGAGTGAAGAATTGTGGTGTTGTTTCAAAACAAAATATTTCCTTCAAGTTTGATTTTACTCCCAAACAATATATAATTTTTCCACCAAAGGCAGAGGAGATGTGTTAGAGGAAAACAAATAAAAAGGAATGTATGATTTTTAAAATCTCACATTTTATCTGATATTTCATCTGTTTGAAAGTTATCTAAAAACTTGAGACAGAGAGTAGCCAATATCATATAAAATCAACTGACAAAAATAGTTGCATGATGTTTATGAGTAGACTTTGATCCTAGAAAAGTAAAGCAAAGTCTTTGAGTAAAATCATGCTGCTCTTACATATTTCCTGATGCCACAAGAGTTAAGAGTGTAAATGAACTCAAAGAAGTCAGGCTGCAGTCTGTTTACAGGACAGCCTGTCCCGAGATAGAGTTCATAAGGCTGAAGCTCCAGCTCATTCACAACAGGTGTTCTTCTAATTTTGACCTGGAGCCAGTATTCAGAACAGTTTACAGACACTAATGGGAAAAAGAAAAGGAGAAATGAGACATCATAACATGACCTTTTTAACCAATAGCTCAGAACTTTTTTAACCCCCTATTCAATCAGAATACTCAGATACATAGTGAAATTGCCTGGTTCTATACCTATGTTTTCTGTTGTAATGTTGGGTACATTACTTAATCTTTACAAGGCTTAATCATAGAACCCCCTTCCTGGGAATTCACAAGAATTGGCTTAGAAGATGCTGTGATGGTCTTAGACTGGTACATAAGACCTAAGGAACATCCAATAATTTGATAAAACCAATAAGAAAAAAATTGCTTACCTGAATACAAAAGGACTTTTTACATATAAAACCTTTTCTCTGACATATACCTACTGCCCACAGACAATCCAGTGAACACTTTTTTGTTATTTTTTGGCAGTACTAGGATTTGAACTCAGGGCTTCACTCTTGCCAGACAAGCATTCTAACACTTGAACCACACCTTTAGCTCTTTTGCTCTGGTGATTTTGGAGCTACGGTATAGATCTTTGCCCAAACTGGCCTGGATTTCAATGCCACTTCCAACCCTAGATAGAATGACAGGCATGCACCACTGCACTCAGCTTTTTCCATTGAGATAGAGTCTTGCAACTTTTGTTTTGCCCAGACTGGCCTGGAACCACAATTCTCTGGATCCCAGCCTCCAAGTACATAGGATTACAGACATGAGCCACTGATGCATAGCTATTACCTTTTTCAATAGAAATAACATACCTTTTAGAGGATTTATAACAGTAAACATGGCATATTTGTTGCCCACTTCAAAACAAACATATCATCTTCACGTTTTCAAGTATTATTTCATTATTTAATGTGATCTTATTTACATATAGTCAGAACTCTACAACTTACCATATTGATTTGATTAGTGTGATTTTGACTATCATCTGATATCTAGTAATAGAAGTCATCTATCCTTACAGACTACCTCAGGTTAATTCTATTTCTTAGTCTGCAAGACTGTGTAATATTACTAGGGCTATCTGACACTGTTTTAAAATAAAATATAGCCTCACAATGACTCCTCATGCCCATAATCCTAGTACTTGGGAAGCTTAGATCTGGAGGATTGGAATTCCAGGCCACCCTGGACAAAAATAACCAAAGTTCTAAGACCCCACCTCAACTGGAAAAAATGCCAGGCATGGTGGTATGGACCTATCATCCCAGTTATTGCAAGAAGGATAAAATAGGAAAATCACAGTTCAGACTGCCTGGGCAAAAAAGCAAGACCCTATCTCCAAAATAACCAGAGCAAAAAGGGCTGGAGGTGTGGCTCAAACAGTAAAACACCTGCCTAGCAGATGTGAAACCTTTGGTTCAAAATCCCCAGCACCACCAAAATAAAGATATACATCATGCTTAGTTGTAATTCCTTATTAGAATAAAAGATTTGTCCTGTGTTAATACAGGAAGGAATCATAGGTATAATTCAACAGCCAAGTGAGCACATCCCTTTTTTATGGCTATAAAATTATAAAGATTACACAAAATCTTAGTCACAAAGAATACTTTAAGATAATCAAGTATCACCAACTCTTATATGCTACTTTGGTCACTGACTGTTAATATTAGAAATAAAACACACTGATACCAACCTCCCATACAGGACATGTTCTGCCCCCCTGTTCTCCTATTTTGTAAAAGAAAAAGATGACATTTTTGTTTAAGATAACTATACAGGAAGTTTCCTTATGACATTTCCATGTATATATACATGTATTATAACCCAAATTGGTTCATCTCCTCTATTATTCTTCTTTCTACCTTAGTCCCCTTCTTATGGTGATGTCAACAGTTTTAAAAATTCTATATTCATTCTTATATAGAAAGTACATCAACCGTGTTCACCTTCTTAACTTCCTTCCCTGTAGCGTGACCTGTGGAGCCTAGCAATCTACATTCTAACAAGCTCCATATACGACATGCCAAAGTTTAACAATCACTACTTTAAAGAATATTTTAATCTTATGTTTTAATGATAAACTATATATCTCTTATCATATATTTAAAAATACATATTTAGGCTATGGTAGTTTATCTACAAATTATTCTCTTTCCTCTTTATTTGGCTCTATGAACTATTGAACTTTTCTACACAAATACCACCTGCATTCCAGACAAATTAATTTTTTATGGAAAGCTTTTGGAGAAAAGTTCAATAAAGTGTGGTTTAAAGAAAAAAAGACGAGAACTATAGAAAGTGAATACAATTGTAAAGGGAAGAACAAAGAGATCAAGCTATAGAAGTCAGAGCCTTGTCAGGGGATGTCCCACCCAACCACACAGCGGATGCAGAGCTCAGGGATGACATAGTTTCTTGAAATAGGGAAATGTTAAGCTTTCATTGAGACACAAGATGGCTGGAAGTTGAGGGGATGCATGTTTTATGCATTGATCACAATGAGATTATAGGCCATATCACCCACAAGTTATTCAGAAATCATTCAAATTTGCATAGAAAATAGCCTCATGAGCAGATCTTTCAAATCTTTCTAAGCATAAAAGTTAATGGATCTAGATTAATGGATCCAGATTAAGGCTTGAAGAGTTTCAATAACCAGTTTTAGCCACTTGGAAAAATTCATCAGCTGCTTTAATTTTTTTAAAAAAAAATTTAATTCAAATCATTTGAGCCAGTTAATGTTAGCTTGATATTCTATGTGTAAGTTCTGAAAAGAAGTCATTTATAATAGAACACAGGTGGCCACTCTCCAAACTTCATACTGAACGGCCAAATACCAGAGGACCTAAAAACCTCATATCCTATATACCCCCTGGTTCTCCATTACAAGTGCTCAGCCTCTGCAAGAAGACAATCCAAGTAAAATAACACAAGAACCTCAAGATGTTTTTAAGTAAAGAATAACCACTATGAATGCCCCCCATATAATAAATATATCCTAATAAAAAATTTTTTTAATAACAACAAAAAATTCCCAGCATCTTAAGGTCATATAATTATAGATTCAAGAGATGAAGATGCATGGGTAAACAAACAGCCATTGGATATTAACAAATGATTATCAGATAATAAAACTGCAAAGTAACGAAGCACCCTGCTGCTTGAAGTGCCACCCTCCAGAGCTCCCTCTTTTTCTTACAATCTTCAAGACCATGAATGGACACAAAAAGCACAAGGAGCCATCTTAGCACACCAGAGATCTTCATTGCTACAGACCACAAACCAGAGTATCACAGGAAACAGGAAATGGAAGGCAGGGGCCTGTGCAGGTATTTATAAACCTCTTACCTCTTCAGCTGTGAGTGATGACTTATCACTCAGGAACGCACTAAGAAATCCTCAGCACACTGGTGACTTTCTCTTCACAGCTGAACTCATTAGAACTATGATTCAGAAAATCAGAGAGAAAATGTGAAAAGAAAAAGGTCTACACTGCAAGACCTCCCCAAATTATGTCTTCCTGATGGACCTGAAGTGGTGTCCCATGTAATAATACGTGTCCATTGGAATATTAAAAACAGGGCTTTTCAAGATAATTTGAGGAGCTTCAAGTAGATAATATAGAAGAACTATTTAATACTGTCTTATCATAAACACTGTCATCATAATAACTCCGGGGTCTTGTGGGAAAAAGTTGGCGGGCCCCTCAGCCAACTATTATAATATGCAACAAACTCATGAATCTAACCTTCTAACAAGCTCCAGGAGATTCTGATTCCATCAAGAAAATTCACAAGACTGCAGTCTAAGCTTTGGAAACCCTGTTTTCTGAATCTTATCACGTATATGTATAAATGTCTCATCAGGACTATGTATGCTCACAGTTTGCTGAATTAAAAATTCATGAGAGAATTTTTGTCCAGTACAATTTAGAAGTACAAAATCCTGACAGAGACAGGGATTGCTGATGAGGATAATGATTTGATCAGGCTCAAAATTTTGTCAGAAACCACTTACTATAAATGCTGCATCTCAGAAGAAAGAATTTAAGTGCAAGGCAGAGGGAAAATGGAGAGGATAAAGGAGGGACAATATGATCGATGTACTGTATATACTTGTATGAATAGAACATGGAAATCATTTTAAACAGAGGGAGGAGGGATGAGGGAGAATGTTGGTAGGTTTGAACCTACTGAGGAACATTGTAATTCAGAAATGTCACAATGAAACCTCTGTACAACTAATATAGGCTAATAAAATGTTTCTTAATTCAAGACTTTAGTAAATTATCTGTAAAGATTACCAAGTATGACATTTAGATAATTTCAGCTTCCGAGTGCAGGATATTTGCTGAGGGATATTATCAAAATTAGCTGCAACAATCTCTAAGACTATGGGCTGATGTAGCAAAAACCAAGAAGATATGTCTCTGATTGTCAGAAGCTCAAATGAAAGTTATTCCCACTGGATATTTTTATCATAATAGAGCTGGGGTGCTAATTCCAGAGTATAGAAATGGAACCTAATTGAGGATGATTCTCTGCCTGCAGCAGTTTCTTAAACTCACCACTACTGACATCGACATCCCAGGCTAACGGATAGATTTTTCTTCATAGGGATTTTTGTAGGGTTTGGGTGTTTTTGTTTTGGGGGATTTTTTTGTTTTGCTTTGTCTCAAACTCACGATCCTTCTGCCTTGGCCTCCCAAATGCTGGAATTATAGTCATGTTCACTAGCCTCAGCTTATCGTTCTTTTAACAAGTCTTTCTTAAGCCAATATCATGAAGAAATTTTTCAGTATTCTCTTCCAAAACTTTTATAGCTGTACTCTTCATATTTAAATTCTTATTACACTTGGAATTAATTTTTCCAAATAGAGTATTTGACACACACACATGTTCAAGTATTTAACCCAAATGTTCTAACCCACTCTTTTTTTTAATTTCTTTTATTCATATGTGCATACGATGTTTGGGTCATTTCTTCCCCCTTCCCCCGGCCCTTTCCTTTCCCCCTGCTCCCTCCCTCTTCCCCCCACCCCCTGGCTACCAGGCAGAAACTAT